GTAATAATCTAAATTGTACAAATTGTGTTTTTCTTTACCCTAGAATGAGCCTTTATATTTAAAACACTTTATATTTACATCAGGAGCGGGTCCTCTCTACGGAGGCAGCCATGTTTTTTTTTTACAGTTATCCAAACTGAAAGCGACCACAGCTTCTCTCTCATATTTGGGAGGGTGAGGTGAGGGGTATTCAGCTGCAACATGCAATTTCACCACTTGATGTCACAAAATTTAACCTTTAACCTTAAAAGATTATGACAGAGGCCCTGTTAAAGACAGAACGTCAATGTTAGCCAGTAAAGATTGGTGCATATTCCTAAAAACAAATGTTAAATGAAATCAAACCAGTATGATTTTGACCACAAGTGGAGGGTGTGAGTTTTGGAGAACAGACATTCAAGGAAACAACCAGCAACTAAGGAAGCATGAAAGCTTGGTCACAAAGAACCATCAACAAGGCACCGAATGCACTTTCATTCATCGTGAAGCAAACATGTTGCTGGGTGAGGGAGCACGAATACAACAGGGCAGCGCAGGCCAGGTCGGGTTGGGTTGGGCCCATGCGAGGACAAAGATGAATCACTTGTGGCGATGATACAATACACAGAGAACACAGAGCCTAATTACCGTTACTGTAATAGTGGTAATCTTCTGCAGTAGGCCAAAGGAGTGGGGAGGAGATGACAGATAAGATTGCAGAGGTGACACAGAAAAGAAACCTTGGTGTCAGCACATTGCTGCATCAATACACACACACACATTTAGTTCTGCATTAACCAACACATGTTAGACTATATTATCTGGAGAAGAGGGTCCTGCACAATACATTTCTCATTTTCTTATTAAAAACAGACACAGGAACTGATTCAGTCTGCTAAAACACATTTTAAACTGCAAAAAGCGCAACCTCATCTTTTCCCAAATAAGTTACTGAGCATGTATTTGGCATCCTGGAGTGTGGTTTGAGGATTTAAGATGTTCACAACCATGTGGGTACAGTTGTGAAAAGGTCTTTGTCATTATTGCATAACCAAAATATCAACAAGAGATACATCTGTGGATAAGGGCAGTTGTTAAAATGCCCATCCATCACCCGCATTACGCATCCTTACTTTTTGCAAATACATAAATATAGCAGCCCGTCCTGCATTTGGAGTTGCAATGAGACATATAGAGGGAACAATTTTTATTTAAAAGTAAGCAGATCGCAGTCAAAAGTCCTGTTTCATTGTGCCATGCACTATTCCAGATATTCGTCTCTGAACCAACAGACGTGAGAGAAAAGTGCTGCATTAAATACAGACTTATCTGACCTGTAAAGCCTCCTGTATGTTTCCATTGTAGTCGATGATTTCAGTGGCCCCTTGGTCTCCTTTCTGCCCGGGGGGCCCCTAGTTCACATTAAGAAACACCTTTGAAACTCTGCATCTTGTTTCATACTGCACACTTTATATTTATACACAACAGCAGAGACATTAAGACCCAGGGCAGGATTGACCACTGCCCCCTTGTGGTACACTGTGTGTGGTAACGCTGACAATCTGTCTCACAGGAAATCCAAATCTGAGGCATTTGTAACATTTAATATTATGAATATATTTATTTAAAATCTTTAACATTCATAATTTAATATTTATTTGTAATGACTGAAAAAGATGATTACCTTCGGGCCGATGAGTCCCAAATCTCCTTTATCTCCAGTCTCCCCCTGATTGAAGAGGACAAGCAAAACATTCAGAGCTCAAAAAAGTGCTCTTGTTAAATTCTGGTGGTGATAATATATATCAATTATTAATTTACCAACACATAATATGACATCTACTACTTTACACTTTTTGAGCATTGTACACAAATAAAAAAACCAAAGCATATAAAAGTGAGTAACTATAAATTAAGATACACTTCATAATCAAACATTAAAAGCAGTTAAGTCAGACAACTCAAGTTCAAATGTTTATTGCAGCAGTAGAATAGGTTTGTGTTTGGCTTCTAGGCTCCGACTTAATCACTCCCCTGATATGATTACACAGATATGATGGGAATGACGAACAAATACTTGTAACTCTCGTCGGAGTTTTTAACAACAATAAGTATTATCTTGGAACAACATATGTGTTGTTTGAGGATCTTATAGTGTTTGACATCTCTGGAACAAACTAAATTCAAGACTCTGACCTGAGCAAATCTAAGGGTGGAAATCATAGATCTTCATTACCTACAAAGGCTAATTACCTGATCCTAACATCATGGCTCACTTAGATCGGAAGCTCTGTGCACCATATTTAAAGAAAACACATCTGCTGCACTCACCTTTGACCCTTTAGGACCAGGTGTACCGGCCTCTCCTTGTGACCCCTGCCATGAATAGCAAAACAATGTTAATTTATGATGGCATGATTAAAACAAAACAAAAAAGAAAAGCCAAGTATCAGAGAAATAAACATAAAACTAAAAATACAAAACAAACCCTCTTTAGTGGTTCAACCCAAATTCATCATAAATAATTCAATATAATCCACATTTCACAAAAGAAATATCAACCTCCTATTCCTCCGGAGAGTGAAACACAGTCAGCTCCACAAAATATAACCAGCTTTGAATTTGTCATTACTGGCAAGCAATGGAGAAAGTGTTTATTTGAACTCTGGCATTGATCAAGTAGGGGCTCCACTTGTGGGGTTTCTAATTGGACGTGAAATGGATCTCTGGGTCGCCTAAGTTTAAGTTGGTTTAAGCTACCTGCTTTCTCAGCCAGACCTAAACCTAGACCTCAACAATGGTCAGCTCATTTATATTTGGTTTACTTTTCAGAGACCCCAGGGAAAAGCCCTGACCTTATTACAGGCCATAATTGTTAAGACAGATCTCTTTGTTATAAGATTAAATGCTGGATGCATTGAACAAACAATTGTTCTGGGAACGCAGAATGACAATGAATTTCCAAATTCCTCGCACTATCCAGAAATAAAGCTAAAATATTACAAACTCTGCCGTCTTGTGCATTCGGAGTCTGCGCAGTAGCCATCAGGGGATGGAGCATGTTTAATATCATCAAATAACTAATTAAAACCTGTGCTCAGAAACACGAGCACTTGAACAAACATCACTGTGATAAGAACTGGCTAAAATGACAGACAACTTCTTTGAGACAATTTCAATCTGTTTACACACACACATTCTAAAAGTAGATTTTCAGATTCATGTACACATTCACAAATCTCATTACACGCAGACTGAGATTTTTTTTGGGGTGTAATTTCACCAGGAAGACTCTAGATGGCAGCAAATATCAATCAACCACATGAGAGAAAGGATTATTATGTGCATAAAATCCACATGAGCATATTAATCACTGACCTTTGGTCCAACGTATCCAATTTCTCCGCGCTCACCCTTCCCTGGTGGCCCGTGGTCGCCCCTCTCACCCTAAACAGGCAAAAGAACCAAAAGAAAAATGCTCAAAGTGTGTAAGCGTAGTTCTCCTGCAACCTGGATTACCTAAGAGCAGAGAACTGCTGACGTGTGCACGATCTGAATATCAGGCGTGATTCAATGACCTTAATGTTATGCAGTACTGACATGAAGGAATCTACCATCAGAACATCCCGTCATTCTCATGAGTTTGCTTACTTCACAGAAAGGGAATCGTAGAGATTTATGCAGAATCAGCACAATCCGCTTGCAGGTAGATTGTGATGGTTGACAAGGTTAAAGGAAAAAAAGAAACAAACATCTGCATCCAACTTTGTGTCCTCTAAAGTTGAATCTTTTAGGAAAAAAATGCAAGTCCTTTTTTTGTGCAGTGGTATTCCTTTTGAATTAGAGCCTGTCCGTTTGGGTGCAAGCAGGATTACGCAAAAGCTGCTTGGGCCAGATGCAGGTTTTTCTTTTCATGTTATTTAACATTGAATTTTCATCATTTTTGTTGATTTCTCAGAATAATTCATGGATCTTGATGAAAAAAAAAAAATCAAGTATGTTTAGGGAACTGATATTTATGAGATATGACAGATTAAAATCCAGATCTAGTTGATTTAAATGATGTTTCATAAGCAGACTGTTGACTCTGTGAAGGTAATCGGCTGGACTGAATGCCACCTGACTTTCTTACAGCGAAGTGACTAAATAGAGCCAATAGATGGGGCTGTGGTATAACTCAGGGCCCCTACATTTGATGACTTATTGCTGATACTCAAAGCCGAGTGGGACACAACCATTATTCAGCAGTGTTGAGTCAATAAACCTTTGTCTTTTGGTTTTCAAATAACTGCTCGGTAATGACATCTTGAAAATAAACCCACAGACTAATAGTGGGTGAGATGTTAAAATAAAATCGTGAGCAGACCTGAGCATGGAAAAACCATCAAATCAAATATTTGCAGCTATGGCTTTAAATTAGATGTAGACGTCCATGTACGTCAGAGGATGATGCCAAGCGAAAACATCTTGATAATCAATGCAAAACAACCAATTATGATGCGAACAGTAATTCTTGTGTCAGGACGATCGCAGCTGGATCCACAGCGTGATAATGTCACCACTTAAAGGGAGAGGCAACGATGAGCTCATTCTGACAACTTCAGAGGCTTAAACACATTGATACGGAGATATTAAAGCAGTTGAATATCATTGTCAGACCTGAAAAATCACACCGAACATCACCCACCTTCGTTCCTGGGAGTCCGGGAAGACCTGGCTCTCCCTGGGGGCCGAGGAACCCAGGCTCACCCTTGGAAAAAATAAAATAAAATCAGCAAATATTACAAGTTTGGGTGTAGCTCTACCTCCACCTGCTGTTACTGAACACTACAAAAGATTCATGGGCAAACAGGCATGCAACTTACTGCTCACAACTTGGCACGTGCACACAGGGTCACATGCACAAATCTGACACACACACACACGCGGGTGTAAAATGATCAGCGGCTTGTTAATTCATCCCCTGGTTTCTCTTAATCAAAGACTCCCCCTTATGAGCTGTAATCGATTATGACTAAACTGGTTAGAAGCTCATCAGGGCACAAAAGTTTTCTGCAAAAACCAGGTTCTTAGCCGCCACTTTGGGGCTTCACGAGGCGCAACGCTCGATTTGATTTGATTTACATTTGATTGTGAAATGACTTAATTGGAGCACATTGCAAAACCATCTGCAACCAGGCCCCCCTCCCCTTTCCCCCTGTAGTGTAGCCGGCGCTGTGGAAGCCTTTGGATTGGTAACTAACGCTGGCTTCAATTTTTGATTGGATAAACAGTGAGGAATGTGCAGCAGAACAAAAAGGAAAGCCGCACTCAGAACCCGTGAGTGCTACGTTAGCAAAATATTGTTAGAACCCATCAAGCATTCAGGCTTCTTAAGTAAAAACAGGAGAATATAAAATATAAAATGAAAGAGCTTTTTTTGTTTTTTACAAGGCTGGCACATTACAAGCAAAAACAGAAAAAGAAGAAAAATCTAAAACAGCAACAAGCATCGTGTCATCATGCTTGTTTGAGCATTCCTTGCATTCACAGGTTATATACTTCAAGCTAATGATCTGAAAGTACATTGGGGTGATTGCTATTCTTGATGGCAGAGAATTATCATGTGCATTTAGTTTGTTCTTTTATGAGGCAGTAAAAAAAACAAAACAAGCTCCTTCGCTAAAACAATAAAAGCCTAGTTCGGAGAAAATGGAGATAAATAAAAATCAAAGTTCCTCTCCTTAATAAGCAGTAGTATTTTGCAATGAGCCTCTTGGTGCCCCTTCCATAAAGTGTTTTCAAGGGAGGCAGGGGTCTGATCGTTAATTCATAGACCTCTGTGCGATTCACAAACCTTAATGAGTCCATTTTCTTGCTGACTTGGGGCATGGTCAGATCTAAAGACTGTTTGGCCTTGTCAAGTTTACCTAAGCTCCTTACTTCCTTTTTTTCTGCAATTAAAGCACAGGTATTACTGCGCCTCTGCCGCTGCAGCAGATATAATCTTGTGGTCTCTGTGCAAATCCCACACAGCAGAAGAGGCAAGATTATGAGACCTTGGACGCGTCGTACCTAACGCATGACGAAAGGTCAGCTGAGTTTGGATCTGCTATGTACGGGGCTGAAGTGAATGGACGGGGACAACACTGGATGGAATGACTGAGGGTAAAAACAGCGAAGCATTTACCTTTATCCCTGGGAGTCCAGGCAGCCCTGGAAGTCCTGGCTCTCCCTACATAGGAAGAGTGTGACATGTTACAGCCAAAGCCAAGCTAAGCTGAGTCCAGCCTCATCTATCGGCTCGTTGGGGTTCTATTGCTTAATTTTCAGTGTTTTCTTTTCTGCTCTTATTCTGAAAAGTGCTCTCTCTGCTGTCCATGAGTGTAAGTTGACAGTCGTTTGGTTGCGGTGAGCACTAGCAGAAGGTATCGCACATGCACTTTCATAGCAACTCATGCAGCCATGGCTCGACAGTGGGATTAGTGCTTGTTAGCCCTCTACAAAGTGCAAAAGTAGTTGTATTATGATTTGACTGGTTTGGGCAGGTGCAAAAAGCTCTGCTTTCTGGAAGGAAAAACTGTCTGATACTGCTTGAAGCTGCAAAAAGCTGATGGAGAGAGCTGTCGAGGTCGTTACGAGCTTGGCAGTGCGAGGAGTCGAGAGTTGGCCTATTTCTCCGTCAGCAAGGTCGGGTCATTGTCAAGTCGAGAACTCCATTTACTTCCATTACATACAAGTTTGTCATTTAATCCAACTGTGGAAAAATCTGAGGTCAAGTCCCTTGTGAGGCCTCGTCGACATTTTCAAAAACTAAATTTCAGGATAATTTAACGCTCTGTTAAGACCATTGTATTTATGACGTATGAAAAGAACTGATTAGCGCCGCACAAGAATGATCAAGTATAGTGGCACTCTGGGGATCAGACACAGGGCTGTAAATTTCCATCATGGCCAATGAAAGCATTGTAAAAACTAATGAACAAAATGTCTTTCTTGTAGACGAGTACTTTAACAACACCATCCTCTGAATAGTATTAGGAGCAAAAACTCAATCTCCTGATAGTAGTTATGATGAGAAATAGAATTTGTAAATTGTCAGCACAAGCAGAATGAGAGATTAGATAAGCAGCGAAAAACAAAATGGTTCGGCCGCAAGTGCTTTCTTTGCAACACATTGTAAAAAAATAAAAAAGACATTAGCCAAAAGCCCTTCTGTCTCTCTGGAACCAGTTTGTCCAACAAGAGAAAAGAGAAGCAGGAATTAAAGGGGTGCAGCACTTGGGATTAAAAAGTGTAATTAAATGGAGCACTGTTGCAATCTGGGGACAAATATTGCACTTGATTTTGCAGGAAAATAGCTCCTCCTCTGCTGCATGCAGAGTGCTTGACCTGCGAAAATTGGCGTAGTTGGACTAATGCAAAGAAAAATCACAGGATCACGTGCATGCACCAGAAGTACAGGTCACGTTACGCTAAACCAAAAGCATCCAAAAGATTCAGTGTGTGCTCAGAAGTGTTGGTTAAATACCTGGGAGCTTACACGGGCTCAGAACAAGTATCAAGCCAAAGCAAATGTAAAATGAGTCGGAGCGCTGTGATGTTCGTGTCGGGGTCTGCTCAGTGAGTCCCTTCCCCCCACCGTGTACAACCATCCTTATTACATTTTCAACTGTGAGGTTCAACTGAGTTAGGAATGCTGTTGTCAAAAGCCGAGCGAGGCCCATTATATTTTCTTGCACAACAGACTTGAGCTCTAGCATGAAAACGTAAATGTGTGCGTATTCATGAAAACGGCATTTGATTATTTTCTGCTGCTGTGCCGTCAAATATTTTATAGTATCAACACAGAAACCATTAACAAACAGTAAAGACTCAAAAGACACTTATGATTAAAACTGTCCTACCACCACTGGTGAATCTTATCTAATGCTACCATCTGTGTATTTAAGGAAAATGTGATTAAAGTGCAGTCGTTACCTTGTGTCCACTTCGTCCAGGCTCTCCAGGTTCACCCTGTAATACATGCAAAGAGTTTTCTTTTCAATTGCTTTATCTCTGCATTGGGCTGCATTGGTTATTTGTAAATCCAAGTTTTCCTTCCCATGGCTTCATGTTTTGTGATTCTAGTTAAGGATTTTGACATTTTTATAAACATTTAACAAAAGATTACGTTCCTGTTAAAAAGCATTTTGATGCCACAGAGACGCTGGGCCTCCTCTAAATCATTCAACGTAATTCAGAATTGGGCACATTTACACATGTGTTCTGGAAATGTATGAAGATGCAAAAGATGAAGGCATATCCTTGTAAATTGAATGTAACTATATGTCAACGTTGTGATTTTTTCCTCTTATCTTCTTTTGTATACTTGCATAATTGGAAGTGTATAAACAAAGCATTTTGATAAGTAGTGCCAGATATGTCAACCACAATATGACTCCTCATATATCATTTATTAGCAATTTGGATGTGGTTGAGTGAGCTAGGTTACCAGTTACACATGGTAATTAGAATACTTCAAACCTTATCAAGCGAATACATTTACATAGACAGCAATATTCTGATGATTCACCTTATTTTGAATTACATTTTTTATTATGATGTTGAATATTTCATTTATGTAGCTGTTTTCATGTTGCAGAGCACAGTCTGATAATGACCAGTTGGTAACTTCCGTCTTTATGATGCAATGACAGAATATTAAACGGTCTTAGATGATTTCTGATTATTTTGAATATGACCTTATTCGGTTTTAGGTCAGAAAATGCTGTTTACATGACAGTGTCCTATTCAAACTATTATAATCAGGTGGATGTATATCTCGAATAAGTTTGAATTTCAAAGAGTGAATCTTTGTTTCCAGGTTCTTACCCCAAATCACCAACTCCCAACCCCCTGACCCTACGTGAGGAAGCATTAAGCTTTCTGATTCCATGACTCTGACCATTAGATAAGTTAACTCAAGTGTAGGCCTATTGTAGTAAGTGTCATGCAGCAATACAGGGGAGGAGAAAACCCCTTTTAAGAGCCATATTATGCAAACACAGACCTTTGTCCAGGTTCCCTTTATGTGCAACTGTGTCCCAAATCAAGGGCAGTTCGCATTTTAAGACCGACTGCAATGCAGCGGTGCGACTAAACAGTCCCATTTCGACAAATGCATCCTTTCATCCCAGAGCAACGAAGGCTCGGGTGGATAAGGAACAAACTTTCCAAGGATTCATCGCACTTCAAAAAAAACAGTTGCAACCAACTCCTTATGAAGATCAAGAAAGTGACAATAGCTTAGCTCTTACCTTGATGCCAGCTGCGGAGGAGCCTGCATCTCCCTAAGGATAAAGGTAAAAACAAAAATCAGAGAGGTACAGCACGAAAAAACTGTCGTAACAGAGGTTATTTAAGACCCAATAAGGTCTTCTCTACTGTCATAAAAGGAATGATTAATACTGTGCAATTACAGGGACAAAAGCAATGAAAGATTATATGCTGTTCAGATTAAATGCACCTCATCACAAAAACTTGAGAAAGTTTTGTTCTTTACTACAGTACTGTTATTTTCACACTGTCAAGAGTCTGACACTATAAAGATCCCCAACAGTACATGAGGAAAAGAGCCTGATAGATATACTGCACTAAGGGCAGCCATTTAATCACTTTCTTCATTGCATCACTTCAGGTAGGGTGTGGAACCAGAAGGCGACAGCGCTACTTAAATCACACTTTTCTAGAACTCAGACGCCCAGAACCAAGCCCTCTTTGATGCATTGCATTACTGCTGCAGTGTACAGTAAAAACAGACATAAAATAAGGGGCCAATAAGTGTAATTATGGGCGGTTGGTGGGAAAAGGGACTGCGGAGAAGGAGACAGGGTCTGTAGCTCTGGTGTGGACTGTGGTTTCACTGCACATACGCCTAACGCTCAGAAGTTGCTGAAGGAATGTCGCTCGCCCTCAGCTTTTTATGGGAGTCATTACGATGCATTGCACACAAGGCATGTTTAATTATGGCGTTTTTTTTGTTTTTTTTTTACAGTAAACTGTTTATAGCTGGGCTTTGTTGCATACTTAGGGGCACCTCTATCCCAGTCTTAAAATGAATCATTTAAATTTTTAATTTGGGCATTTTCACAAGTGCTTTTTTATGAAGATGATCTGAGAGGATGATGATTTCATAAATTAAAAATGATTTTGGTCACATATTTATGAAACAACATGGAGGCCATGATGTGGTTGACATAAAAATCATAATAAAAGATAATAAACTTCACATTATTCTTACTTTTTTTCACTTGATTGAATAATTGTTTCCACAAAAATGCATCAAAGTAGGAACCTGTTTGTTTTTGGCAAGGATATATAAGAATGCCCCACATCTGTGCTTCATTGCTACATCTTGTACAAAAAGATGTAAAGTGCGGGATGAAGCTGTGTGCGTTGTTAAATTTTGCCAGGATGAGCTCATGAGGATCTAATTCCAGGAAAAAACGAAACTTAACAGCACAGTTTACACAATTTTAGTCAAAGAGTCATCACACGCCATGTGAAAACAAGTATTGGTGAATGCTACACACGCAATTAACACTCCCCTCCCCTGCTGCCGAGCTGATAAACACCACTGATGTTTTCCGTCCTGACAAACCGAACGCGGGTGACACCGAGTTGAAGAAGCGGGTGAGAGTTTTCGCTGGTTCGATGTCTTCCAAGTGAAGTATGAAGAGATGGAAAAAGAAGTGGAGTTGGGGGGTGAGTCGAGGTGTGGCACACAGCGCTGAAATGTCCCAGCTGGGCCAATTACCACCACGAGACCACAACTTGTGATTTAACCGCGGAGCAGAGCAGGAGGGAGAGCTGTCGCCGCAGCTCCATTTTATTATAGGCACCCAACGCTGTCACTGCATATTTAAACATAATAGTGCGAAGAACTTCTAATGCATGTTTGGTAAATAAGCCCCCCCCCCCAGCTGTTTCCCTGGTGAGAGCGAATGACATGGAGAGAATTAATCAGCGAGCTAAGAAGCCAGAATGAGTTTGCGATGAAATGTCACATTTAAATGCCGTCGCCGCCCTTGAATTGTACTTCATATTAGGATCGTTAGCAGAGGTGACCACATTCAGAGGCCTCAGCTGAATATCAACCTCGATGTGTGGCAACATGGGCGATTGGCTGGAGAGAGGCCCTCGCCAACAGGCTGAACCCAGGCCAGTTCACAACAGCTTGGACCGGATCTCAGGATTCAGATTTTAAACCAATCGCTGTGCCACGTCGGACAGAGCCAAACGTTCACAGCCTAGAACTTCCCAAAACTAATTCACGAGTTCACTCTGTCATTATTTCTCTTTTCTAAACCATTAAATAATTTTTCTATCTGCGAGGGTCAACTTTTCGATGAGAAGAGTCAAAGTTAATTTCACACCTAATTCAACACTTAAACAGAGTGCAGCTCAAGTAAATGGTTTAGAACTCCAGCTTTTAACTGTGGTAATGATTTGTTTTAAAAGGAGGTCAGATATGGACATGCACAGGCCGTCGGAAACAGTTGGTGATGAAGCAACACAGCAGGTAATGTGCAACATAAATATATAAAGAGTACATTTACTCAAACACTGTAATGAGGTAGAACTTTAAGATACTTTTTAACTCCAATACAATGTTTGATAATATCAATACCGACTTTGCAAATCAATGAGACGTATTAATTCCCTTTCAAAGCTGTGGATCGTTATTCTACTCTCGCACAGCACCACAAAATGGTGAACTCATGATATAGTGGATATATTAGTGGGTGATTTCACACAGCAGGGTCTGTGGTCTCTCTTTTTCTCCCCCCCATCATTATGCCTTTGTATCATCCACAGCCTTGCAACGCTGCCCCCCTATCCTACATCTCCCTGAGGTCTCTCTGCTCACCGTCCTGAAGTGCTCGCTGCCTCACCTCTCACCTCGCTTTACCACACTCTTCCCCACAGTGCTTGCTGGGTATTGTTAACTTTGGCATCTTCAGGCCTGGAGGAGTGAAGATGCCCTCCCCTGCTCCCCTCACCCCTCACGCTGCCCCCTCTATTCTCCAGTTTCTTCTTTCATATATAAAACAATAAATATCAGGGATGAGCAGTCGATTGGACAGAAAAAGTCTTTCGTGCTTCAGCTTGTGGAACGACAGTTTTCTCCACTGGCCCAACCCGTCTTTCAGCACGCTCACTTGAAAAATAAATCGGCCCATGGTATGTGTGTGTGACATATGTTAAACGCAGCTGGATAGACATCTTGATTGAAAAGCAATTATTCCCACCATATGTTCTTCACTGTAAAAAAACGCTCACTTTACATCCTGATGTTTACAATCTGAAGAGATAGGGTCATCACATGTAATCTAATGAAAAGATCTGCAGGATTTCCAGCTCTTTACACAACGTTCTGTCTCTTTTTATTGAAAAATACACAGACCCGCCTGCTCTCGAAGAATGAATGGCAGATGACTGGCTACAGAAGTCTGAATTCCCATGGCGCTCAATTTTTCTTGATCATTCCTGCACAAAATGTTTTCCTTTTTTCAGCCCCCCCCCCTCCCCTTCCTTTTACTGCGCTAAGGTGGAACAGATCAAAGCTGTGCTGGAGCTGCAAACTTTTATCGCCCTCCACTTTCCCTTTTGTTCGCTCATTTTTCCACAGATGATATCCTGCATCTGTTTCCCTCAAATGGTGTCTTTCTTGGCAGCCGGGTTCGGCACTCTTTTAAAAACCAGAATACCCATAAAGTGAGAAGTTATCAAAGTTGTTCTCTGCTGCACAGCAATAAATTGACAGTGACATTTTGAGTACACTGCTTCTATTCTGCTGCTGCTGCTGCTGCTGCTCTATCAGTTATGTTGTGTTTTCTTATACCTAATCAAGGATTTCTCCAGTGTATAAAACTTCACAGTATTTTGTGTCCGCTGCCTGTTCTCTGTTACCATGTGTACCTTGTTTTTGGCAAATTTGGGAATAAATATTATTTTTTCTCAGAAGTGTGAGAAGCTGAATCAACATTTTCAAACGATCATTTATTCCAATCTCTAATTATTTCATTTGTAAAATGCTTTAAATCAAATCTGAAGGGAAAAGACGCCCAAATGTTGCCATGGTATCACCCAATACAAATAGGAATGATTTATTTTCATAAATACTGCTGTTGTAAGATGATGATAACAAAGGGATGTGGCAAGTTCTGGAAGGGATGTATAATCTGACTCTGGACACGAACAAAACAATCTTAAGAACAAAAGCTTTTTGGAGAGAAATATGAATCTGAACAATCTGTCCAGCACACGAGCTTGACTCTAAGTTTTTTAGAAATTGATCCCAACTTGACGAGCTGTCTTGATGATAAATGGTCCCAAATTGATGCAGGAGCCATCCAGGCAGAAGGAAGTAGAGTCGGCATGGCACAGCAATTAAGTCTACATTAAGCACAAAGGACGCATCAAGTGCCAGGACGATTGCCGTTGTGCAGCCTTGACTTCAGCTGATGGCACTTGACCTTGGCTACTCTCCACAGATCTCCTCTCAGATGGCTGACATCAACCTCTTTTTTATGTTTTACAGCCACGGCCAAACTCTCTGCTGTTTCTCTGAGCAGGTTCCAAGACATAAACAAAAGAGAATGAAAGGATAGAAGTGGAGTTTACATACCTTCTCCCCCATATCCCCTTTCGGACCGTCTTCACCCATATCACCCTGCGATGAAATCACACAGAGGCAATCACAAAAACATAACGAGAATGTGTCAGTCGGGAACAGAAACTCTAAAGAAAAACATGATTTCTTTATCTCTATGCCAGGCTGAACATGCATAATACACAGCAGGACTTTGATAAATCTTCTCTTTCCGTGATTGACTGCACTGTAAAACAGCTTAAAGGACGCTTGGAGATGATGTGCCATTACTGCGCATGTTAAATTCACTTTGGTCACTAACAGAGTCATCACACGTGGTTCCAATATGACTGATTTCAGGTGATGTAATACACTCCATGGGGCATCATGGCAACAGAAACTCCTGGCATCAGCTGTGAAGAATATGGCTTCTAAATGTTTTCCATCTGAGCAGAATGAAGCCGATTGAATGTCAGGGTTGTATTTGGCCACACTAGTGGCTCTAGGGAAGGCGGTGTTGGGTCTAATTCTTTGGTCCCAAAGGATTGGGGGGGATTGCCTTTTTTAAATTTTGTTCATACATTCATCGTCCATGAGTAATGGAACCAGGATCTACTGACTTTTCCTCTGGTCTCACCATGAGCTTGGAAGTTGTGGTTGATTGAAATATCAATTCAGCTCAATCCATCAAATTTAGCTTGACTAAGATGAACATGGTAAGCACAGCATGCGCTTAAAGCAACATTATGTAACTTTTTTACCTAAAAAAAGGCAATATTTTAATTCCCAACTATTCTTACACCATGCAACTTTGCTCAAAGGGGACAATCTCCTGCAAGAAACTGACTATTAGTCACTGCTTAAGTTGCCAGAATCAGGTCCAGCAAGTTCAAATGTCATGCTGACCAGTAGATGAGTAAAAAAGACTTGAAAGTCAATAAAAACCAGCATCGATCTCAATATTCAGCAAGGAAACTTGATTTTTTTCTCTACACAAAAAACACTTGGGAGATCGGAAACGGAGGTTAAATGACTGAATCAACACGTGTGGCTGCAGAGGGAGCTGTTACATCTTGTTGCTTTAACATTGGCCCCTATGTGTCCCTCCAGCCCCCAAAACCTACAGATTGGTGCAGCCTCTTCGCCTTGTTGATAGAATACTTTCACTGCTCTTAATCCAGTTGACATGTTCCTAATTTGATGGTGATTTGCTAATCCAAGGATTTAAAATAAAAGTTTGTGTCAGGACTTCAAGAAATGAACAGTTACAGGCTCTGTGCTTCTGCACCAAACAGTTTTTTAATCTGTCAAAGGCTGGCATTATTTTGAGCCTGCTGGCTCTTCTTTAGCGACCAATGCCAAAAACAACAGTTAATGTTAACATATGTGTCTCATCTCAAAATAAAAACTCCTCCATGGCACTTTGAGACGAGTGAGTTTCAGTGCCGTCGTTGGCAGGAAATTGATCTTTTCTCTTTTTCTTTTTTTTTAACCACAATTTCATGTCAAGTAAGTGGAAGCCTAACAAACTGCAAATCTAGAAAAACATATTCAAATTTGAAATCAAAGGTTGTGTGGAGAACATTGACCTAAGAAGTAAATGAGATTAGTTTTCAAATTCTGTATTGACATCAAGTTTTCATCAGCAAATGAATTATGGATAATGTTACCAACTATGACAGTATTTGTTCGACATGAATTTTCCTGCTTGCTCTTAGTTAACAAAGCCAAAAAGTGTTTTATAGCAGCTTTCAGACAAGCACTGAAATCCGGACATTTTCCTGAAATTTTGCAACCTTATGCAAAATGATGCAACCTTTGACACAGTAAAATAACAAAAGCCGAAAATATGTCCCTTCTCCAATGGCTCAGTAAACAGTTTCTATGCAAATTTATGTTCACTTCCATCCAGCTTATTCTCCACAGGACAGTTATGTTACTGTGAACAATGGTTGCCGCCTGCTGAACCACAGTATTACACTGAATCAGGAGTATTAATGATGGTAAATAAGTCTCCGATTTGACAAGAGACTCGGATCAACAACTGAGACAAACCGCCTGAAGGCAGGTTTTGTGGTCGATGAAGCACGCTGAGTCATCGCCACCCTCCCCATGCAGCCTGCCTCACTCTCGACTTGCTCAATGTTCACACCTCCCACTCGCTGCTGTCCAACTTCAGAGAAAATGGGCACCATTAGAATTAGGGAGCAGGCAAGAACACGGCTGCTTCTCCTCAGTGGGGCTATTGTTAAGAGGCCTGGAGCCGGAGGAGGTTCAGTTTTGAGACTCCCTGAATCACCGACTTGCTCCCTGCAAAGATTTCACAGGGGGAGACCCCTTTGAAAAAACAAACAAGCTGGAGCCGTGAGAAGGAAAGACCGAGCCTATGTCGTTTTATCTCGAAGTCCTTCCTAACACATGGAGGGATATCGAGAGCGATGCTAACAATAATGTTAGGCGGTGCGAATAAGGGCTTTACCTTTTCACCTTGATCTCCCATTTCACCCTGTTGGGAAAGAAAGCAGAGTTTTAGACGCAGAGAAGCTCAGGGGGAGGTGGGTTCATCTGGGAGAATTATTGCAGCCACTGAGGGTCAGATTGTATCTGGGGTTAAATTCATGTTGGATCATGGAAACTCTCTTGTGTTATGTCTGACTTTTCGCCAGACAGACCCCCAAGTATCTGCTGTTTGAAGAATTTTTAAAACTTTCACAGTCAATACAATTCAAGCTAAAATTAAAATTTCATATGAATATTTAGCTATTGTTAGGTACCAATATAGCTTTAAATGATACACATGAATATCTGCTATGAAGATAACATGTTCATATTCATCTGATTTGCAAATACAGTTCATGCAAAAATGCCAAAAGTGTAAAAACATTTAACAAATGTGTAAAAAAAAAAAAAAGGGAATGTTTCCAAAAAGTTATGGGGAAAACAATGTTTTTTTGATGGGGAAGGATGAAAAGTGAAAAAGAATTTCAAAACAATAAAAATATATTTAAAAAAATATGATCACAATGAATTTACAAGAATAAGAGCACACAGGATATGTGCGCACCAGACCTTGACTCCAGGGATACCGTCCAATCCTGGAATGCCTACATCCCCCTACGGACAGCACAACATACACACATTGGCTGTATTGAGTGTGATGTTTTATTAATGTGAACTCTGATTTTAGATCAGAAGATATAAAAAGGTTAACGTTTTCTCCCTCAACATAGAAAACCTTTGACCTTTAGAGAGATTAAGTTTGTGTCACCGGTAAACAGGTAGGTAACTTAACTTGTCAATAAATATCATAAATTTTAAAACCCCAGCCGTATTGTAGAAAGGATTAACAAGCTGACTATAAGTCTAATTATTTCCTGTTTGGTTCTGAGTATGAGCAATAGAAGAAAGCCAAGTCTATCTGATGAATAAGAGTTAGCTGTTGGTGTGAGTCAGAGTTCTAACCTCAGCCAAAGTCCCTCTGTTGCCAGAAACAATTAAGCGGCAGACCTCTGTTTATCACTTTCTTTAAAATTGCGAGATAGGACGTTTTTTTAAATTCACAGATTTCAAAGAGAATAATTTACAGATCTTGATGAAAAAATCAGGCATGTTTAGGGGACTGATATCTTTGAGAGTGTGACATTTGGTGCAACTTGAATTTAAGGGGACTGTTGAGGGAGATACGCGCTCCAGTTGTTTGTAGTTAGTAGTAAGGGTTTTACAGAAAAATCCTTCCTGATGTAATCTGGATGAAGCATTATGGGAATATTTATGTGTATCATCTGTGTTTCCAACCTTAACCCACTGAAACACCTACTGCTACCCCCCACTGCACACTAGCGGTGAATCTCCTCATAAACACTTTAATTATCATGTATCATCTATCAGCTCACATATGGCTGTCATTGTTGTAATGATGATGGAGCCATAAAACTGGTGCTGATGAGATTCGATTAGCAAACTCTCGGTGGATATCTATGTCAGATCAATATGACGTCTGCCAGTCATCCTGTCACTGCTCTCAATGCTGTATACAGTTCAACTTTCTGCATGAGCAACACTTACATACCAGAACATATTCTGTTTGATAACTGCATTGGAGTTCTGTTTCACGGGTGCTGGTATGGAATTAGGCCTTCAGCTTTTGTTTTCTCCAGAGGTCTCTACAAAATTAAAATTCTTCACTCTGGTTCCTATTATGGCCGTTCGTGCCTCTCCGCTCCTATCTGTGTAAATGTATGCTTGAGATTAGAAAGTAAGTGCCTCTCAAATCATCTCCTCATTCGTTCTCTTCACTTGTGCCATCTCTGGAATAAATATGCTTTTCCATTTATCCCCACTGTGAAACACCTGCACTGCATCTACTCAATTGGCTTCAAGAATGAGATGCAGGAACAAGCTGAGTGTGAGAGCAGGTTCACAGCCCCAAAAGGGATTTTGTGGCCCAGGGGATTTTTCCTGAATAGGAGAGTGGTTTGAAATATTTAGAACTTTTCTGATATGAACATATGTGCAGAAAAAAAGACTAGTGAAAATATTTTTGAGCGTTAAAGTCAGTCGTTTGAAGATAAAATACTTTCAGGTGTTGGCTTTCTCCACTTTTTTTGTTTTTTTTGGGAGGGAATCATTATTCCATACTAAGGCTAACATTAGACTACACTACTGCATTTAGAGAAAATCCTTTTATAAAACCAACGCTCAAATGAGCATGCCTGGCCACTAACTGGCGATAAAGTCTACACCAACGATTCGTCAAATACCACAGCATTGTTAGCATGCTCAGTGAGCTTATTTTCCTGTCAACCGATATCACCACCACCGAAGCAGCTGTGGGCAGGAGTGCAAAGGAGTTTTTGAAAATGTGCACTTTATAGTATAAATGTAAAAGTTTAGCAATATAAATTTGTTGCAGTTTTAAAATACATCCAAACAAGACAGCTGACTGAGCGAGCCTACTTATGAAACTTAAAATTTAAAATTAAAAGCAGACACCTACGTATGAGTAATAAAAGTATACATATTTTCCCTTTTAAACTCTCTAATCTATGGAAATCCAGTCCAAACAACTAGTTAACTACCAAAATCTAGCAGAAAAGTTTACACATATACAGAATGGTGCTTTTTGTATGAGCTCACCTTCAGTCCATCAACACCTGGGATTCCAGGAAGTCCAAGGGAACCCTGGGAAACAAACACAAAGGCCTTTAGGTATCAATGCAGAAAAAAACCAACTGCATTTTGCAAAAGTCACATAAATATATGACCATGCAGGTTTTCTCTCTCTGTCCTAACCACCTCCCAATGGACTCAACACCCAAAAAATGAAATAAAATCCTGTACATAACTTCAATCAAAAGTCGACACCACACAAAAACAGCCAAGAAGTGTTCCTGGGCTGCCCTGTCTATCCCTAACCCCACTTCTGCAGATACTGGTTTTGTCTTACAAAACCAGGGGAATATAAAAACTGCATGTCATATTTAAAGATCTGCTGGGTAGGTAGGCAGAGGGCGAGAATGGGAGAATAATTCTGTTGAGCTTTAAAATACAGCGGTTTGCTTATGTTGGCTATACGCCCACCCTCATTATATGAGTGATTTCCTGTTAGCATGGTTACATTTACATATCAGAGATGGATGAAATATTGGAACAAGAACTCGGAGCAATAATTCTTCGAACTCATTTTGGTTATCCTCCAATATATCAAAAATATAAGTGGAAACCTCAGCTGCAGCATCCTGGGATGAAGGTGAAGGTGGGGAAGTTAGTAAAAAAAATATAATTCCAGCTTAGATAAGTTCAAAATATATGATTCACTTTAGTTCATGTAATGACACCAAATCAATCACTATGGCGATGAAACATGAATAAGCATTGACGTGGCCTCTCTGCTAAACACAGCACTCCACCGGCGGCAGATCTAATTGAGTAGCCTCGGACCTGGCTTATGAGTCATTAACGTGGCGGTGTGTCATCGTTGAACCCTCAACACACACACGCGCACACCCACACCGACAGGAGGCCTTGCCGACAGATGACAGCGCAGACAGGAAGTGTCTGATTGGGTTACACTGAACAAACACTGGCAGCTACCTGATGGCTGGATAAAGCTTACATCTGTTCCTCACATCAGCGCCGCCAGGGACCCGCCGCCTGTATCACAGCACTTAGCTCCAGGTTCTCTGCTCTGTGTCTTTCTCCGTCACTCTTTTCCCTTTGCCTCCTCACGCCATTCCAGCCTTAACTTGCCTGTTGTTCTATTTACTTGCCCCGAGACAGTTACTATGTAAACCAAAACAGAATTCTAATGCTAAAGAAATTCCCAGTTGGTTTACGTTAGAATTAGGTTCATTAGGATTGTAACATATGGACTGAAAAAGCAGATTTCAGCCTGATTAAGTGTACCTAAGTCAGGAAATCTTATTTTATCTAATTTAACAGAAAAGTAAGATGTGCCGTTGGGAGTAGAAATGTTTTTTTTCTTTTTATCACTTACCTTTGGCCCTTCTGGTCCTTCAGGCCCCTATAAATGACAAGAGACAGAGCAACAGAGAGTGGAAGAGAGAAAGAACAGAATATGTCAGATAAAATAATGTGATTTCCACAGCCAACATGGTCACAGCACAGAGACTGGCAATGGTTTTGGTAGGATTTCATACAGTGAGCGCACACACCCCTTCAGGCAGAGCAGAATAAAATTGATCCCTTGTTTTATTCCTTTGACAAAAACCAAAAATCAACTCCCTCTGTGCCTTATTTATATTGAGTTGCACCAAACAAATGAATCCCTAATAACTTAATATTTACAGTTTAATCTATTTATGTTGATCTATGTCTTTTTTCATTTTAGCAACTGTGAAAATGTATCTGCTTTGACTGTTTGAAATTCTGCGCTTCTGGTCCAACACGGACTGTGGTTCGTTACCTAAACAAGCCGATAGTTGGAAAGACTTGCAAAGCCAGAAAGTTAGATGGAGCAAAAAGGCGCCACATCTCTTCTTGAGATCTGAGTTGGTGATAGATGTGTCTGGGAGGACAGTTTCTATTTTCAACCTGCTGTTATTTCGCCACAGAGAGTCTGGCGGCCATGACGGATCCTCAGCCTCCTGCACCAGTACCTCAGGGGCGGATTTAGAAGTGGGGCCAGGGGGTACTGGCCCCAGCTGAAATCTGATTGGCCCCTCAAATCCCCCTTTCCTCTCAGCAGTTTTTTTTTTAAATAAACCAATCATTTACTAACAATACTTAGAATAAAAATGACAATTTGTTGCCAATTTATATTTTCGAAGCTTTTTTGAAGTACACAATGTGCTTTAACAACGGAACATTTTTCAAAATATATTCAACTAACGGCGCTAACAGAGAAAAAAGGAATAACTCAAATTCGAAATCCACCACTGAATCTACCTAAAAACAGCCGGACTGCTTCAGGAAAAAATGGAAAACCAAGCTGAAAGTTAATTCCTTCCAAGTTGGCTAAAGCTTGACTCTGTTCATCAACACAACCATGCTTGGCTGTTACACCTAGTGACACCTCGTGTTTGCCAGCTTATTTCTCACCATCGACTCAGGATCCACAGTGAACGGATCCATTTGGCTCGTCACGCGCAGTTGTGTCGAGGCTAGGACGACCTTGTGCTCTACAAGTCCGCTGCAACAACTTTTTATTCGGCTTCACTCTTGTTGATGCAGTATAATTTGCTTAAAACTAAAGATTGGACGTTTGTGTGCCTGTATTTTAAAAAGTAGTCAACAAAGACAAGTTCAAGTTGAAAAGTTTGTCTGTCTGTAAAAATGTCTATGAAGAAGAAATGGGAGTGATGGCCGCCAACCCTAACCCTATCCTACACCTCACGGCCAAAGCACCAATGCTTGGCTTAATAACCAGTTTTCTGAGAATAGGCGGTTTGTTTTATCTATTCCATATCTTATTTAGTTTCTGAAGCAATCACCAAGAGACCGTAGCTCAAGACTTTCCCATTCTCGGTTTCCCCCTTCTTTTTTTTTTATTAAGTAAAGAACTAGCTTGTGAAAATGCAGCAGCAACAAGTTCTCACATTTACAGAAGCAGCCCACACAGTTGCAGCTTATTTATGGTGCATTCCGTCTGCACTTATAACAAAAACCTCAATGAACAACTTTCATTATCCCGGCCAATTGAGAGAAAGGTTTTCCTCCTACTTGCCTTTAAAAGCCTTTGTTAGCTACCCTCAATGGGGCTTGGTAAACATCTTTATGACCCACTAGGTATGTGCAAGCATGTGCCACTCGCCTGAGTGCTAATTAGCCTGGCTACATCTGAGAGCACTCAGGGCCTACTGGCTGAGGAGATTTTTTTTCAGAGAGTCAAGAATCATTGAGGAAGTCCTGATCCTGCTTCTTTTGTTCTCAACTTTGGGCCCTGACATCTCAAGAAAAGTAAAATTGAAGGTCATTCAATGAAAGATAAAAAGATAATAATTTCCGCTACAATAGCACAAGCTCGGCATATTGCACCTGAGCTCTATTAACAATCACAAAAGTGAAAATAAACCATAAACTTACAATATCAACTGGATGCCGATTGAAGTTGAGCATCCGAGCACAAAGCCCTAAATGTTTGATGCTTTCATTCATGACTTGGAAATGACAAACAATGAGGCTACTGCCAGGTCAATTCCCACACTCGGTCTGCAGGCAAACCCCTCAGCCACTCGAAGATCCTCACAGGGTGCATGTCCGATTCTCTCTCAGCATTTAGAGGAAAAAACATTTTGGCCCATCAAAGCACAGAGACGCAGCATGTCTGAACTTTGGGGTATTAAGAGCTTCTGTTTAAAGCATCTGTTTGACTTATACGATCTGCGAAAAGGCTTTGCAACATTACTTTTATTTATATTCAATTATGGCATTTTTTTGCTTAAAAGGAAATTTATTTTTTTGACAGTCTGGGTCTTATGTTGGGCCCAGGTAGCTACAGGTTAGCATAACAATGCACTGGCTGCCAATATTGGAAAAATTGTGGATGTGTGTGCTTTCTTTAAGCATACACGACTCTTCACTTTTGTAAGCCCTTTCAGTCGCACAAGCTTTACGGCTAAAACAACTGTAAACAACACAGCAGCACATGGTGGAGCAGGCCACCCAGTCAACTTTGAAGTTTAAATAAGAGGAAGCTCCGAAAAGCAAGAAACATAGAATTTGTGATGAATTTTTCTTTATCTTCACCTTCATATGTGCATCACACAACCACATCTGTTATACTTGGATTAAAGTGTAACATTACAGTATGAGATTTTCCCATTTCCATTTATCTACAAAGTCAGAGGTGTGTACAATATTATGCTGACATAAAGGCAGGTTTATCAGATTCTGCAGCAACTCTAAATCTGTAAATCCTGGGCAATAAACATGACCTGATGACCTTGGTACTAAAATCCTGTCACAATAAGACCAAGACTTTCCTTTGAGAAAATACTTTTCCCATTGATGTCAGCATTTGCCCCAACATAGTTGGCTACTACAGAGCATGTCCGAGGACATTTAGTCACATCTTTGCTCCTCATGTTTGGCTTCACATTAAAGGAAAAGAAACTCAGTCAAGGAAACCAAAAATATTAAAGATATGTCCACATTATACAGGCACGTTGAGAAAACTAGATCCCTGCATGCATGTCTGTTGTGCATTAAAAATAAATATCCAAGGTGAGTCGCGAGCCCATGGTGGGTTATATGGAAAGAGTAGGATGTAAAAGTTGATCCGTGAAGGTCTGTGATAATTGAAAGAAATAACAGCAGAAAGCTGGAGGAGGTTTTTTCATTTACAGATGGAACGCAGCACACAATACACCACTGCTTTTCTTGTCTTTTTTGAAGCAAAATCAAGTTCCAAATGAAAACTGTATGCAAGGCTGGAAGCCACCTTTAGAGAGCCGAGGACCTCCTTAATTTGCCCCAGAGACACCTTATGGCACTGATGATTTCGAATTGAATCCTGAAACTATTTCCTTCTTCTTCTTCCTCCCCCCTCCTCCTTGTTTCTCCACAAGAGCTTAATCCTCCTAACCAGCACCATATGTCCTGGAAGGCTGCTGGAAAACTCTGGAATCTACTTTTGCCTCTTTAACAATAGCATCTACATCACAAAACGCTGAGCTGTGTCAAGTGGATGCTATAGCTCTGAGAGCACCGTAAAAAGAAGCAACGTTTTGTGAAGGACCAACCTTAGCATGTCCACCATGAGTTTGGATCGGAAGGTGCCGATCACAGCTCGGCCTCTCAGTGGAGCCCATCAGTCTGGATGCTTGTGCACATCTAATTCATATTGATTTCCAAAGGCCGAATCAAGGGTGTGGTGTTGTATTTCTCGATGGAGAATTTCTTTTTATTCCCTCTCCAGAGATTTGACATTCTAAATGATAATTTACATAAACTTCTCTCTCTGGTCCACTATCTTATCTTTGCTCCTTTTTTTCTTCAAAACGCCATTGGCTGGAAACAGAAGCTCTGAACTGCCATGTCACATCTTTTTACAAGCTCTGGGACGTGCTTATCTCCTGCTGCTTAACACAGGGTGGGGTGGGGTAGATCTTCAAATGATGACATTAATCCTTGTTAAAAGTACATTACTGTCACGGTGTTTATATACTCATGATGGAGTGTGTCTTATTTCAAGAATTACAGCGAGTAGCCCATATTTTTTATACAAACATCTCAAGCTCATTTTGAATGGGAGTCAACATTCATGTTTAGGAGAAATATTCCAGCAGCTGTCAAGAGCAGTTGTGTGAGCACTGGAGACTAATGGGAGCTCACCTGGGAAGATCTATTGCAACTCTGACGAGCATGACATGCTAATTTTGGAGTGCCGCTCAGTGTGATAATAGGTAAAAGATATAAAAGTCAACAAAAGCTGAAAACTTAAGCAGCATTTTACAGAAAGCGGCAAGTGAAATGACCTGAAAACTATTAGCAACAAGGCTTTAAACTCCTATTTGTCTCTTGTTAATGTGTCTTTTTTTTTCTATAAAGCCTCATCATCTTTTATTTTCTCTACCCGTTTCTTTCCGATCCAGCAGATTTTCCCACACCGTGAAAAAAGGTCCAGGGCAATGGAATCAGAAGATGAAAGCGCTTGATAACACCTCTTCTGTCAGCTTCACTTTCCCTCCGATGCACTTGTGAAGACTGACGTTACCAAGTGTTCTCTCGGGTCCCGTTTTCCGACCTTGCCTTCTCTGGAATTTGGCTTGACCTATTCAGCTAAGCTTTTATGAGGAAACTTTAATCAAATGCTTTATTTCCCGAACACCACAAGCAGTATCCAATTGCTGTTAACTGGAACAGCTTGTCCCTACTGTATAACGGGTTTTTGAGGAAACTTATGTTTTTGAAGGGTGTCATAAAAAGTGTCATTAAGTAGCAATAAACCACTTTACGAATATCTCATAAATATTGTACATTTAAAAATATCCTAAATGGCAGCATCTGAACACGACTGCTTTGATAAATGATAACCTCAGAATGTAATTGTATAACAGTGCCCATTCTAAACCTGCCTGTTTGGAATGGGCTGTTTGTTTGGCCTGTGGTGAACCTGGTTGCAGTTTTCTTTCTGAAACTGTAAACGTTACCTTCCTGCAGTAATGGTTTACGGTGAGTAAAGACCGACTGCTGGACTCAGTCCACAGAACTCATGAAGCTGCACCACCACTGCTGCATGAAGAGCCTTTCACCGAAATTCAGTGATGATTGACTCAGTACTTGTTGTTGTCATTGTTGTCTACTCTATTGCATCAAATTCAATACTGCACTTCCTTGGGTCCTTAACAGTACACGTGGCAAGTGCGAGACACATACATAATGACAGATTTCTGGATTAAGATAAATATCTGCAGATATTCCTTCCTCCTACAAACACTTTAAGTAAATGCAACCTTAACTTTTGGCAGAACCAGGCTATTTGCCATTTCATCCCATTTCCAATCCATTGCTTTAAAGGTTGTTGACACTATTTCTAAAGGCTACATTTCCTAGCACCTATATTTCATTGATGATTGCTAAAATTCAAGGTGAGACTCGAGAAAGGAAAAAAAAAAAAATAGTCTTACCACAGGTCCTGTTTCTCCAGGCTGCCCCAGATCACCCTTAAGGAAATAGAAAACAGACAGTTAATGTGAGAGCAGCAGGCTAAGTCTTGAAATTTTAAATAGGTCATAAACAGCATTCAGAATTCAAATTGTCTGGTTAACAACACAACACTCTCAAGATTATTATTTTTGTATTCCCCATTTCTTTTAGCAGCTGCTCTGGTGTGTAGCAGCCGGGTTGCCAAGTAGAGCTCAGCATTGTTCAGCTCATATACCAAGTTGGCTGGGAGGCATTTATCATGCTGTGCCACCTGTACCCTTCACTGTCCCCGTCCAACAACCTTGTTCTCTTCTTTGGTTCAGGCCTGGCTGTCGGATGTTCACGCAGCTCTCAGGGTAGAAATGAGACGTTAGCCATGTCCACATAGCTCTGCAAAAGTCAATGCTTGAACTGTGTTCCCGTTTTTTTGACATTCACAGGAGGATTTTTGCCACCGTCTCTGTGAGATTTTCATTGCAGCACAAGTAAATCATAAAATAAATCACAGAAAATTTAATTTCTAGGGAAAACGCGAGTATTGCAACTGCAATCAGGGGGAGCTTAAAAACAATAGTCATCAAATCTTGGAAAGACTCAGATAAACAACACTTTATATTTTTGCACCCCCACGGTGAACTCAGCCAAGTCAATAAAGATCAGCTGGAGACCTTGGAAGGTTTTATGGCTCAACGTAATTGACAGGCGTTTTCTGTTTCTTCTTTCTCTCACAGGCAGAATTCACATAAATTTGTGTAATGCCAGTGACAGACTTAAAGACATGGAAAATATTACATTATAATGAAAACCAACCAAGTAAACGTAAATACATGGAAAAGAGCATTTTGGATAATGAACTGCGCTGTAGTTCGTTGAGACGTCATTTGAAAGGTTTTCATTGGGATAAATCCCTCTGGCACTGAGTCAAATCATTATGAATGAGCTTCATGAAAACAATGAATTTTTATTTTTTCTGAAAAGTAAAGTAAATCTTTGTCAATTGCTAAACCAACTTCCCCATGGCAGGTGAAGATCAATACTCACTGGTAGACCAGGCACACCTCTGGGCCCATCTTTCCCAGTGTCCCCTGGAGGCCCCCTTGGCCCTGGAGGGCCTGGTGGCCCCGGAGGCCCAGGCGGTCCGGCCTGCCCCTGATCTCCCTGTGTAGCAGAATAGCAAACGTTTCATCATCATTAGGCTGTGATATCGTTGGATCAGTTGAGACTACAGCAGTTAAATAATGATGAAGCAGAGAAATGTTCTGGCAGGTGGCTATATGGGCTGCCTCCATTCGTAACATTGAGTAGAATTTGTGCTATTGAATCTCTCGGCTAAAGCTACATGTAGCATACAACAGTAAAGATGGAGCTGCAGTTGTTTATCTACGGCTGAAATATTAATGCATGCATTCTATAATGGACCTCATGAGAAGAATAGGGTTTATGAAGTGCAGACTGAAAAAGGTCAAAGTGTTCAGAATGTAGAGCTACAATCATCAAAGAGAGTCCATTATTAAAATGGATTGTCAAAAAATATTTAGCCAACTAACTTGCAAAGACATTTAAGTAATGCTAGGACAGTCATTCATTCATTGTAACAGAGTGCATGTGACACGTCTGTCTGAAGGCTTGCATGCAAACTGCCGAATGGCCAGAGAGAAGTAATACGAAGAGACTTGGCACGGTGGACTGGAGAAGATGAGTGAAGACACAGCCACTACCTTAATGAGCCGTCGCTTTATGAGCTGCTGGTCAGCGGAAAGAAAGCCATGATTGATCTTAGGGAAGACCATCTGAGCAGGTGTGTGAGGTCAAGAGGTCGAAGGTCACAGAGGTGAGAGAAGGTTGAAGAAGGATGAGGTCCCGGAAGAAGAAGAGGGAGGAGGAGGAGGAAGGCAAATGCAAAAAGAAACAGATTTTGTTAGAAAGGCCTGTGTTCGTGGACCGCACTCCAGCGCCTTCACACATTGGGGAGAGAAATCCACACTTTTCCAGCACTGAGGTGGTTTGCTTCGGAAGTCTGGGCATATTTTTTGGAGCCAGGGCCCATAATTACCACCTCGGGGGTGCGAGGGTGCCACAGCGGGCTTGCAGTCCCCGGAAAAATGGGAATTTGTCCTCCCCTGTGAAAGCGCTGTCATCATTATCATTATCATCATGCCTGCTGCTAAATCAGACCCCGGGAGCTGCGCACACTGACACCAGCTTAGTCGAACCCTCTGAGTTGGGGTTGATTTATTAACCTTGTGCCTTTCAATGCATGCTTTTTTCTGCTAGTGTCCATTGGTATTAAGTGGCTTCATCCATCGCTGAAACAATCCTGAAGGCCAAATTGGTGGATTGAAGGATTTGTGGTGAACCATGGGCACGAGTTTTAAAAAAACACCTCGGTTCATCGACGAGTTTTCCTCTTGGAGTTCCTTCCATTCATTTTAGCATCAATGGACACAAGCCAGACCATGTCTTGCTTTCAAGATTCCTATTGTTCCAGTCCGCTACATATTACTGGACTATACAGGCCACCTTTTCTTTGGCATGTAGCATGGAACAGGAATCTCTTGAGTGAAAAACTGGTAGCAGTAGTGTGGAAGGGACGATTGACTGGCTGTGATTAATTAGATGGTGTTTTTTCCCTGTGTCTACTCTATCATCAGGCTCGGAGAAAAAGCAGCCAGCAATGATTCATTTACTCCCAGTGTGCACTGCAGAGGGGTCGGACTGAGCAGCTACAGGCGACACCACCACCGACAAACCTTGACAGTCAGGATCTGATTGCTGTGCAAAGCAGCCAGCGTAGGGAGACCAGGCAATCCCTAAAGGGACAAACAGCAGAACATGGCACAACACACGCATGACATTCAAACACATGGGTGAACAAAAATAGATGAAGGGAGAAGAAGATAAGTATCCCACTTATAAATATTGTTATACATTTCTCAAGTAGGCAGGGTAAGAGGTGGGGATTTAAAATTATTTCTTGGTTTCCCTTTCTAATTATCAAAAGCCAACATCAAAGCGATTTGTTTTGAGGACAAGACATTTCAATTAAGGCACCAGCATTTAATTTAACTCTGCCATGAAACTAATGGCACTGGGGTCATCCTGTGTAGAGACTATCCATATAAGAATGTTTCTTAAGGTGACAGACTTTGTGCTATGACACGTTGATAAATTGAGGTATGGTATTGTTCGAAGAGTTTGGGGGACGTCATACAAATTGAGATGTTTACTGGAAATTCAAACAAATGGTTCCCAATTCCCTTGTTAAAATTCCTCATGACAGATGTGACCCACTCATGAAAACTAACTGAAAGAAAAAAGCGATGGGTTTTCTGCTTGTTAAGATACAACACTGGTTTATGGCTGAATATTAGCTTTGATATGAGTCCAGGAACACTGACATATCCCCAGCTAGACATGGTTTTACACTCACATAAATGTAGCCCATTACATTTTATTCCTTTTAGAGATATTGTCAATATGTAGGCATATACATATATATAACATTTATGGCACTTTCATGCCTGTCAAACAAGGCCTTTGATATTGATGAGAGTTTGAAAGTCACAATGCCATTTCTGTAACATGCATTGACTGCAAATTTCTACGCAGAACAGCAATTCTCCTATCTCCATAGATCACAACAACTATAATAAGCTTGAGATGTCTTTCCGGTTTTGGGGGTCCAAAGTGATGTACATGGGGGTGCTAGAAAGAGTGACAGTCAGGGCATAGACTGGAAGGACGACATGACAACCCCTCAAAACTGAAGCCAAAGTGCCTCAATCAACACCCGGTGGCTGGCCGCAGTATAGGTCATAAATACCGGCTTCTCCATGTAAGCAGATGCGACATAAACCAGATTAAAAGCCAGGTTCAGAGAGATTGTGGAAAAAGCTGCAGTCCAGGAGACTTTCAATTTGGGTCCATGTCCCATCTATTGGGGGTAGGACTTATGACCTGTAATGCAGCTAGCCTCCAGGGGGTGAACAAGATGCTTTGGCTTCACTTTTGAAGAGCAGTATTGTTATCCATCTTTGTATACAGTCCAGGATAGATTCCCATTTTAAAATGAGTTCCACTGGAAACCAACTCATCGAGGCAAAAATTGCACCAAACTGATAGCCCAATTTCTTTATACTGCTTCATACTGTAAATAATCAAACCGAATTAACTTATGAGTTTTATCTCTAAAGACTGGCACACTAGCATGTTGTGTAAGAGATCAATCTTCTTCGAAGCTTATACGATAAAATCTGCTCTATCCAAACATGGATTTGGTGCCATGTCTGTGGTTTTCCAAAGATAATTCAAAAAGCATGGCTCATTAAGAACGCAGGCTGATTTAAATCAGCTCTGTAGCAGAACAGAGAGAAATGGATACTCTTATACTGCAGACAATAGCAATGTTGTGGGTAGCTTAGAAATATTTCTGAAGTTATTTACAACCTCAGACATCCTGGGGACAAAGGAGGGGAACAAGTAGTGGATCATGGTCAGTGGGGGAGAGGACAATACAAGGAGTCCAGGCATAAAATGTGTGTTGCATCTGCAGTCTCCCTGGGTTGTTGCCTGTTTGCTTTTACAATAATTTTGATGCTGGAGAGAAGCTGTGGTCAGATCGACAGCACGTTGACAACCTCTCTGACCAATGTGGGTTTGAAATGTGGACAGAATGAACTAGTTTCTCTACAGGAGGCAAGAGAGGGGAAAATCTCTACGACAGTAGGTGTTGGATAGTTCTCACCTTGCATTGCCTCTGTGCTGCTATGTGTGAGAAAAATAATGACAGAGAACCCAAACTGATTGCTTTGTTTTATGTTTTTCCTCCAAAGCGGATTCAATTGGTTATATGGTGAGAAGCTCTGTTGCTATGTATTGCCATGCAGCAATATGACTGCAATTGTAGTAAATAAAATCCGACATGAGGACAATCAGCAACAGCCATTTCAGGATACTGACCAAAAGCAGCATCTCCCTGGCTGCACCAGGCGCACAAAACATCCAGAGCAACTACAGGCTGTGGCATTTCCTGAAAATCCATCTACAGATGTCTTCAATACTTTTAAAAGTAGAATAGTACATGGATTTGAAGCCTCAGATTAGGCATTACTTAGATACTTCAAATCCGTCTCCAGTGAAATTCATCTAAGGCCTCTGATTTCATGTGCAAACAGCCCACTGTACAACACTTCTTTGTTCTTAACTGAAAAGTCAAATGCTGGAAATTACATAACCCCAGCCTCTTTATTTTGGAAGAACATTTGGGCAAATTTGTCAAATCCCAAGATGTGAGAAAGAAAAAAAAAGCCCTGGACAAACATGGGCGCATTTTTTTTTTTTTGTGAAATCTCAGGAATTTTTCCTCTAACTGACCCAGGAATTCACCAACCTTTGCCTGACAGCTGCAGCTTGTGCCATTCCTCAAAAAGACCACACACCTTCCTCAGTGATAATGCACACAGACAGCGACGCCTGTTAAATTCCGTTTATATACCACCAGTGGAGCTTGAGAGGTGGCCACACATTTGTTTGCCCAAAACTGGACGATTTAGTATTTAGTTGCTCGGTTAACCTTTGACATTTTGGATGTGGCCAGTGACCCTCGGGGTTAAGAAATGACTGACCCTGACATGTGCGGAACAGGCAGAGAAGGTGGTCGTCTGTGGGGAAGTGCTGCCCGCCATGTGGCAATTTGAGTAACACTCGTACACATCTTTGGCCACTATGGTTGATAGGTTCTAATTGACCTTTTATAAACGGAGACTGTGTCGGAAATCATCAACTCATTCACTTACCCCTACTCATCATATAGGGACTTTTATGTAGATTAATCTATAGTGAGGAAAATAACTAAACGCATCGGGACACTACTCAGCTAACTTGTCTGTGCAACATCGGACATTGGACAATCCTATACTTGCCCAAATTTTAAATGTTTATTTAACAGTTAGTATTAATACTTTCAGGTAAAAAGCACATTGAATGGCCATTAAAAAAAACGTATTTGCTGCAGCATGTGCTGTGATGCGCTGCTCTACTCTTATTACATATTTTTCCACCACAAACTCACAGATTTGTCTCAATCAAAAAACAAACTATGTAAATATCATTATAAATTATTTTATATAGCATAATATGAAAATGCCAACAATTATAAAACCATCAGTCTTTATCCTCACAATAAGTTTGACATTTTTTGATAAAAATTTTTGTCTATCATCGCAGCGTAAAAAATTCATGTTGGCACATATTGACCATAGGTTGTACACTACTTTTCGCGATACATAGAGGGTAAAAAAGGGAGGATATAAAAAAAAGTTCCACAAAACATTTGCACAGCAATACAAAATGTCAGATTCAGTATAAATAATGATCAGTGAGTGATTTTGGGCACAGCACGCGATGCATAAACACAAAACGTCTGTCCTTTAAATGATTCTAAATTTAAATCTGTTTGGATTTGATACAATCTGGCAGACGGCGTAGCAGACATATTCCTGACATGTTCTGTTGTTTACGTGTATGTCCATATGGGTTTAATTGACTCTGCACACAGCCAACACTGGGCATGAAATGAGCTTCACTCGCAGCTAAATACATTCCAGGTCAAGCAGCACTTGTTCTATTAAGCCTTCATTTATTAGGGAAATCTTTCTCATACTGTTTCACTGCATTTATCTGCTAATCTAATGAAAGAAGTCAATACTCAATTCTGAAGGAGGTAATGTGATTTGGTGGTAAACTGAGAATTCTTTCATGCCTCTGCAGTCCTTCACATGCGACTGTGACCGTGTGTTAATCTGTACCTGTTAGGGAATCATTTTCGCAGTAACTGGAAATTAATGAAACACTATCTCGACTTGGACAGTTTATTTATTTACTCTGCAAGACAAATAGGGCCAGGTTGGTCCCTGTTACAACTCTGTCAGCCACGCTGCTGTTCCCAAAGTATAAATCACTGAGCTGATAGAGACAGATGACTCCATTTCCGAGGTTAAAAGGGTACAAATTATGGGCAAAACCCAAGAAATGTGATCTTAAAGGGGAGAGTTGAGTCTCGTCAATTTATCTGGGGAGCAAAGATATTTCCCCCGTTTGCTGCAGTTCAGCTCTTGTAACTATTATCCAATACTTTATATATCATTAACAATTTACCAAGGATATCACAGCTCTTCTATAACCACTTTGTGATCTGAACCTGGCTGTCATTCGAGGAGCGCACATATATGTAACATTAGATGCGTCACTTCGAGACCACTAATCAAATTTCACAGGGGAAGGTCACTTGTATTGACTTTGAAGTCGTAAGAAATTTGGTGCTACGATGCGTCGCACCGGCCCAGAGGAGGGCTGCCGAAGTTAATCTGCAAACTGTTCAAGCCACATACTGAACTGGGATCAGATCCACTCGGGGGATGGCTGGCAACGTGACTTCTGTGTTGTTGTGCTCTCTTGTCCTTGCGTTCTAACCTCTATACCAAATCAGTTACGGGCGTCCTGGGCGACCCTGAATCGGTGCGATGTGTGCTCTGTGACGACAGCATGTACAGCATGTGACCCTGGTTAATGCAGTCTAGTTTAAACAAACCTGTGCACTCAGAGAAAGCTTAAACATTATTGGAGAAAAATGAGTGCTACGTTCACTGTTATGTGGAGATAAAGTCATTCATTTCAGTCTGTCAAGCATGAAAAAGCACTCACATTATCATCATTTAGAAGCTACACTTCGATAGAAATGTCAAACTATAGAGCTGGAAGTGATTAAGGCTCTGGATATGAATAAGAGTGAAGTGAATCAGGAGTAATTACAGATACAGAGCTATTTGGCTTTTGATTATAGTTGAGATTGTGCAGATTTGTTCTTCTGGTGTGCAAAAGCTGGTGCTTCAATGTTCAAAAAAAAATAAAAAAAAAAAAAAAAAGGTCTGTACAAAGTGAAAAGTATACCACCCCCGTGCCTTTCGAGGTATCATGCACGTTTTCCTGCCCATTCTTGTTGTAGAAATAAGCAGAGCTTGGAATGCTTGTTGTATTTGGCCAGATGGGAAGAACACTATCCCCGGAATTTCATGCTTCTCAAACCTTTTGCCCACAATTCTGCTGGGGGACAACACACACACATTCGTCAGCGAATCACAAAAAGTTGGGAGTAAGCTGCATACCCGTGGTCCCTGGTCGCCTTGATCCCCCTGCGGAAGGCAAGAAAAAAGAATTTGTCTTAAAACACAGGGGTCGTACATGCACACGCACGTGCACACACACAAATAATAAGCAAGACTCGCACCGAAATCATTGAGGCATAATTCAGAACACATTGATAAAGGAAAATAATACAGGAACCCTCAGCAATTCATTGTGGTTCAGAACAAAATCACTTACGATAACAGGGACTGACATGAATTGAGTATGAAAGACAGAGAGAGAGAGAGCAGTGGTGTGAGGTTTGGTGGGTTGGGGGGGCTGAGTGTGGATGAACTGCATTAGCAGGCCAGATTTCATGCCCGAGAGATCTTTGGCTTTCTGCCTTTTTGGGGAGGGGGGGTGAGACCTCTGTGGAGAGAGCACGTTCCCTCAGTAGAAAACGTTTCAAATCAACCTGCATGGTGAGGACTGTGGGTTTATCAAGTTAGAGCGAAACCAAAAACAGCACACTTTTGGATGAGGTAAGTGAAGGAGGACGAAATGCTGGTCTAGAAATGGATAACTCAAGGTCTTTAAACCATGTGATTTGACGCTCTCTGCTCTCCTGTTGGTTTCAGTCCAGCCACGGCAGTAAAATGGGATTATGCAGTTTATCACACATGGATTTAAATTGTGCTCAAAGAAACTTGTAATCCCTGCGCAATTTCAAATAAAACAAGCTTCGCTATGTATTCGGTCGGCCGCTCCAAAGACTGAATTTAACGGCAAAACTGTTGCGAGTGGCCACACTGATGCGCACTTTATTCGTCTTGGGTGGGAGGAACAAACACAGTTGTTTTTCATTTCATTAAACTGCAGATGAAGCGGTTCACATGAGAGGCATGAACGTGCATCTAAACAGTACGCTTACGTTGTTTAATATGGTTTTATCATTTTAATATGGTTCTGTAAGTGGTCGTGTTTTCTATTTTCTGCTTCAAGGAACACCTAATACGAAAAAAACGGAAAAAAAACACACACATGACGTCTGTCAGCGCCAACGTCTTTCCACACCCCACATTACAAGAAATCATCAATTACCAGAGAGCGTAACTAGACACAGATGAGAATCTGCATCTCTGTGTTTGCGTTTAGCTCTGGTTAGCATTCTCGCACCATTTCATTTTATTTCATAGCTGAATAATCCCTAAAATATAACAGATTATTGTCCAAATCTATGCTTTTTTTTGCATAAAATGTTAAACCATTCATTGCTCTCTTGAGACAGGCCTTGATCTTCAACAGGAGAATTTTAGAAATATATGTTTTGAAACTTTATATCCACTTGTTTCCATTATAAAGGAGTTCAGGGACTTTATCAACTGAATGTCAGGTTCACTGTTTTTTTGTCTTTTAAGTGCACATTTGTCCCCGAGTCCTGCGGACCAATAAAGAGACAGTGTGGTCATGTTGCATGCACCACTGCTGTTTTATAGAGGAATGTTCAGCGAGGAATTTAAGGGCCTCAAAGTCTGGCTCTGGCTTCGGGCATTAATGTTCTGTGCTGTGTGGATGTGCACGACAGGAGAATTTAAATATTCAGACTTGACAAGAGGACTTAACTTACAGTGTGTGTGAGAAAGAAAAAAAAAAGGTAATAATACCTAAAGTC